AAAAAAATGTTCTTAGTTGTCTTCAATTAGGCTTTCGAGAACATCGCAATACAGATGATGCGATTTTTCAATATTTGGAAGGTCTTTATTCCGGCATTAATAATGTAGGGGTAACTGCAGCAGCTTTCTGCGATTTATATAAAGCATTTGAATGCATCAATCACCACAACTGACAACTGCCAGAATCTGTTAATAGATTTTTGGTTCATATTGAGTTTGTTTGCTTAGTGAAGGTTTAGTTCTATTGTATTATTGTATTATTCTATCAATATGAACCAAAAAGCAAAAACAGATTCTGACAGTTGTCAAAATGTGACATGCATGAACTTTGTTTAATGTTTTATCACCAATAAACTACCTTGAAACAAAAAAGAATCAGATTAGAATATTTTTTTCTACTAAAACAAATTACAGGTTTTGACAGTTCTGTCATTTTTTTTTCAATTTTTGAATTCAGAATTTACATACAAGTTAAAAGTGTCAAATGATATCATGAAATAGTGAAAACTGGAAAAGATGAGTGCCGCCGTTTGACAGGGTTTTAGCAGGTGTCAAAATGGTTGACATTTTTCGACTTAACTTGGTCGACTTAGTAGAAATAGATTTTTTGTACATCAAAATCTGCCACAGTTACTTTGCTTTTGGATATGAGATTCCAATATTTGACAGCTAACCACGCATCACCTGTCATATATACAGGGTTGTGCCCATGGTAAAAAATGTTGCTTACGGCATCCCCAATAACATATTTCAATTTCATCCAAATATCACGGGTAACCAATTTCCATTTAAATATTGCGGGGTCCTTTCATAAATTTATCATTTACCTAACATGTTTCATCTCTTCTCATTTTCATTATAAAGTTGTATTTTTTTCATTTCAGAATCAGCAAAATAATAATTCTTAATATCACAGAGTTCAAAATAATACAAGTGCTGCCATCTATCCATCATGTGCGTAAAATGCAAATATCTAGAATTCATTTACCAGTGCTGCCATTTAGTACCGGATGAGTTTTTTTTTTTTAATTGTGATAGTTTTCCTTGGCTGTTTTTATTTAACATTTATTTGTATTTTCAATTAAAGAAATTATATTTATCTCACTTTTAGCAAATGGATATATTTCTGTCTCTCTCTAACTTCTGATTCTGAAATAATCATTTTTTGGCTTAATGACCTAATTAATTAGCAGTTTTTTATTTTTGACATAACCTTAATTTAAATTATTATAATTTGTAAACAATTAAAATAATTCTAGTGGATTTTTATTTTTTTTTTTTAATTCCACGTGGTTTTTCATTGTGTAAAGTGAATATGATCTTTTTGGAGTACTCGTCTGATTGGTTGAACTGGTTAACATGCAGTTGAGTATAAAAAACATAGGATCGTTTTCCTGTGCGGTTGTTTCTAAAACGTTCTCTTTTCTCAACAGTAGTCTAGCAGGTTGGTCCTTTTTATTCTTAATTATTTTTGCTTTACATTTTTTGGATTCTCCCTCATAGATTTTTCAATATATTTTGCTATCAATTCATATTATCATATCATTGTTAAGTTTTTACCTGATAAATCTTATCTTTTCTATTCTTGAAATATAAATATTATATTTTATTTTAATTTTTTTATCTAATTATTGGCTTCCATTTTGTGTGAGTGCTGATTGGTTGTGCCACGTTTTTTTTTGAGGTAAGTCAATTCAGACTTTTGGACCAATATATAGGTAGGTACTGCTGCTCTGGTTTTCAAAATCAATTATTGTTAGTGTGGGAATATTGGACCATTTGCTCTAAATAGAGTTGATGAAAACCAAATTTGTGTGTCCATCCCTATCAACTCTTTATTGAATCCAGGCAGAGGCTTAAATAGCCATTTTCTGTTTGATTCCGTCAATTATAATCTCGACTAAAGGGTGTATTTTTTTTAAATAGAAATCCAGACAAGTCAAAAATTCAGAAAAAAAGTTTTAATTAAAACATCCCAAGAATTTTGACATATTCTGAATTTGATTAATTTCACCGTCAAGTTTATCTTGTAGTATCTATACTAGCTACCGTAATTTGAAAGGAAAATTTTGGCTATTTGGTGGAGAATCCAAAGATTTAATTTCTTATTATTTTACCTTATTTTGTTCATATTTTTGCCTGCTAGTGCTACTGTCAGAAAAGCAGCATTTTGCTCAATCATAAGCATTTTAATTTAATCTTGTTATTATTTAAATTTTATTATTATCTTATCATTATTCTCAATTATTTAATTGTATTTTTTTTATATTAAAATATATATTTTTTTCACTTGCAATAGCTGTTCATACCTGATTTTGTTGGAAGGGAGTGTCTGTACAACAACAGTTTTATATTAAATTTCAATTAATTTGTAACACATTTAGATGCGATCTAGGGCTCGCCAACGTCCTCAATGTTTCTATCGAATGTAGACCTGAGACTAAGTTTCTGGGAATTTTTATTAACAGTGAATTGAGTTTTAAATCTCACATTGTCAGTCCTTCAAAGAATATTTCATCTAGGTGTTCTGCACGTGTACGTTCCTTGTCCAGGTCGGTCTATTTTGCCTTGATTGAGTCAAGGCTAAGAAGATATGGTATCTGCTTTTGGGGGTTCTATTTCCAAAATCTGCTTGACGCTCTTTTCATATTACAGAAGCGGGCACTTAGGTACCTCTGTGGTGCTAACAAACAATAGAGATCACTGCAGACTTTTATTTAAGAAAGACAAAATCCTTAATTTATAGAGTCTGTTTATTCTAGAAATAATGTTACCCATACCCCATTTTACACTAGTAAATAAATCTGTTATACATGAAAGCATCAAGATTTACAACCATTTGCCAATAAATTTGACAACCATCCCTTCCCTGAGACATTTTAGGAAGCAAGTTAAGAGGTTGATGGTTGATGCGGCTGATTCTAGTTTGGACGGATTATATTGTGATGGTTTTTAGTTTGGGATTTTGTCCTCGTTCTTTATTTTTTGTTGCTGTCTATTGCAGATTTTATACTTGGAGTATTTTAATATTTAGTATATTATTATGTATGTAGGTATAATTATTATGAGTTCATTTTTAAGATTAATTTTAGTGCTTTGTCAATGAGAACTTCATGTACTTGGACAATAAAGCTTTTTTGAATTTGAATTATTGCGTTATTGTCTGATCAACTGCTAAACTTCTTCCACGTGCATCAAAAATATAGAAAGAGACTCTTATTTATTGTGGACTTCACTATCACATAAAGTTGCGACTCTAGTTCGTACAAAAATGTTCGATACATATTTTTCGGTATATGAATTTGGATTAAAACAATCATATCATGATCAGTACAATTTGTTGTTCAAGTTTTTCTTTTTTGGACATCATCTGGAAATTCCAGGGGTTATCATTACATGTTTTCTGTTCCAAACCCTTGAAAACCTTTCGTCGATTGAGAATGTTATTTAAAAGCCACTGATTTGGAAATAAACCATTGAATCGCCTAGGTCTTGTTAATCTGTCGTCATATATAACGCACGATGAATCAATATAAATTTATCACTTGTAATGTAAAAAGCCGCGCCAGTCAAAAATTATAATTTCATAAGTGTCATTAATATTTATTGTGATTTTCTTTCCCATAGTGAATTTCATAAAACTTAACTTTCAACATACCACACTTGTTTATGCCATGCCTTATTAAATAATTCAAAAGACAAATAAATTTCTGGATACCCATGATGAAATTGATTTACTTTACATCAAATATGTACATTAAAGCTGGCATCGTCTTTTGAATTATCCAATACAAGTTTAAAGAAGTAGAAAGTTTAGAGCTAGCAATTGGCAGTCCGATATTTAAGTGCAAATTCATACATTGAGAGTACACACCATATATAGTTGTTGGTAACAAATAATTGAATATTAAATTTTAGGCATAACGAAAGACACCAACTATTTATGGTAACATGTAAAGCTTGAAATTTATTTTTGGCATATAGATTATTTGCCTGTCAAAAATAAATTTGATACATCACACGCTTGCGAGAAAAAAAAAACACAGAAATTACAAGGAGTGTTCAATTTTCACGGTGTAATAATTTGTGTTCAATGATTTTTATATGTATAACACACAAATAATATGTAAAAATAATTTAGTGAATAATTTAGTTCAAAACGGAGGTGTAAGTTTGTTTAAATTTAGTTAGAAATGATAAAATTTCCAAGCAAAACAAACACCTTAACAGTTCGTTTGAAAAGTTTCGCATTATGCACCACACGTAGAAAAGATATTTTCATTCGCATTATTTCTTAACTTTACTTTTAAATGAACTTTATCCCTAAATGTTTAACAGGATTGATTGTGCCTAACTTGGTCTCATCAACAATATGGTGAGTAAATTAGGCCATTTCGATAACCAATCATAACTAAGTAGTTTTTATTAGTGTATTTTTGTAAGACTATAGTTTGTTTTATCTGTGTTCCTCTTCAATAAGACAACCGATGTAGTAACTTACGCAGATTTGGGGCTCTTATTCTGCATAGATAGTTTTGCAAAATAAGTCCAGAAACTGTAATTTCATACATTGGCAAAAAGCCACATTATCAATAGATAAATTTCAAAATTTTGTTGTATGTATTTATTTTTAAAACGACATATTATTTTGGCTTCTCCATCCATATTTATAATATTTTAGATATCTCAGTGTCAATTTTTCAATACATTTTTCCAATTATAGGTGTGGTAACTTTTCAAACGAACATCAGTTAATATATTAAGCAAGTGTGTGATGACTAGAATCCCTAACATAAATCTTAGCAACATGTTATTTATAAAAAACAAAATACATTTAGAAAAAAAATATATTTTGGTCACTCTAGGTGTTCACCTAGATTCTAAAATTCGTGTAATAAAATATACTAAAAAAAAAAACAAAAATCAAAAAGAATTATGTCAAGTCACCTTTGAAAAAGAAATTATTTATTTAATAACATATAACAAAATACCCAACATACCTTTGCCCCGATTCTGCTGTACACCAACATTCCCACGCATTTGTTGCATCTGTTGGGTTTCCCTTGGAGGGGGCGGTGGACCTCGAGCACCAGGTCCGATACCTCTATTCTGACCTTGCACACCCCGCCCTGTGAACATGTCTTATTTTAAATGGTATTTTTACTGTCATCCGTTACAGAGGGTGTACATTTTGAAACGAAACACACCATAATATCGTTGACAGAGATGTTCAATATTCACAAACTGGTGAAATCATTGTAAAGGCAAAATTGGCTCTACATTATTTTGTCCGTAGTATAACAATTGATTTTTCGTGTTGCTCTAGTTCACTGGAATACACGATGGTGAGCTGGTGGACCTCGTTTATCATGGTATCGTGGCGATCGCCAAAAGAATGATGTTTAGGTACTTTGATCGATATTTTGTCAATCGATTCGATACCGAATTACTTACGATAATTGTTATTCTTGGTTGCCCCATAAGGTGATTGATTTAAGCCAGTCCAATTATTCCGTCATAGTTCACTCTATCGTTGGCTCCAGGAAACACATCTCTCCAATTCAAATTAGATTAAGTAATTGGTTAACATTGAAAAGTTTTGCAGCCCTTTATAGGATTTGAGCTGTGATAGCATTAAAATAAAAATCGTGGTATCTCCTGCCATTTTAAATTGCGCGTTCGCTTGCCTTGGACACCACGATTGCTTTGATTTTTCAAGATTTTTCCACGTTTGATTTTTTCTTCCTAATTTGTTATTTTTGTTCATTGATTATGGCCACATAGTAGATATTATTAGCGTATTTCATTTCAAAATGTACACCCTCCATTTTATACGAAATACCTCCTCGTCCTTGTCCCTGATTCGGAACACCAGGTCCAAACTGATCAGGAGCTTCTGCTAAAAAGTTAGAAGGTACCAGGCCACGCACGCCATCGATTTCGGCATTGAAGAATCCATCTTCGTCCATTTCCCCGAAGACGGTGATAATTTGACCGGTAGCGAAGCTCAGTTCTACCTGCAGTTGGGGCACAAGAAAATGTGGGTAGAGTACATCGCAACAAAATCTAATGATTTACTGAAAATAATTCACTTCTTGACGATCTATTAATAAAGGATTAATAACAGAGATTCTTGAAAAGCTTTGAAATGAGATCAAATAACGGACGGAATCATTTAAAAGCCTATTAGGAACAAAACATAAATAATCACAACAATCATGGAGTTCAAGAAATGACAGACATCGTAGCAGACTAAAAGACTGCTAGAAATTTAACAATGCTAAATAATATCAAGTTTCTACGTTACATATCAGTGAACATCTCATAGAACAAGTTCCATAACTTTTTAAGTCAACATATTTCGTACTCATTTTTTTCCACAACTTAAAAGAATGCGAGACACTTAGAAAACCAAAGTATGTTATGTAACGCTCTTTTGACGAAACACAATAATGCTCATAACCTGTGCTCGACTATGCTCAGTGGTTGTTTAGCTTAGGGTGGTCCTTGGTGTTGGTACAATAGAGAGAAGGCACCACTAGTTTGTATAAATTATTTTGATTACCAAAGAACTTGACACTATTCCAATAATTAGTTATTGTTTAAAAAAATAAATGCAAAAATCAAAAAAGGAAAATAAATCTAATAGCTATCTAACATTTAACCCATTCAATAAAAAGACAAGTTTTGGAATTCTGAGAACAATAATTTATTAACCAAATGTCGAACTGTTATTCATTAAAAATTTGTTGACAAGATGGCAAACTTGTTGTTCAATGGGTCAAAGGAATATATTGTTCAGTATCCAATTTAAAAAACAAAAATTAAGCAGCTTTCGAAAAGCAAAATTTAATTTAAATAGGCATATAAAAAGATTGAAATTTAAAAACAATTAAATAGATACCTTTGATGAGAATTACCTAAGTATAACTGTTGAAGTCATGATACCATTAACCTTTAATTTTTGACTCAAAGTCAATCAAATCAATAAAAAACAAATTTATAAATGCAGAAAGATAATAAACAATCCCTAGGGAGTTATAGATGCCAAAGACGTGAAAACTTCCAAGGACTCCGTCCAGGCTTGTATAATTATTTACCTATGGGTCCCGTAAATGTGCCATATTAATTACCGTTAATTTTTATTACCTTTTTCTTTATCGCCCCATATCGATTAGATTTATTAGCTAATTAATATCTTTGTAAATATTAATTACCGTTACTTATTACTATCTTTTTTCTATTACCTCCTATCGTTTAGCTTCATTAGCTAATTAATATCTTTGTAAAATCATTTACCGACTCGTTTACCGTATAGTAGTATTTGGCTATAATAGCTAACTACTGATTAAATATAAATATTAATTTAATTAATTAATTAATCATAATCACAATCAGATATTTACCTTCATTAACGTTTTATCTAGTATTCTAGTATCTAATAATCATGGATTATTATAATTATTACAAATTTATTTCTTTTATATCGAATACTGATCGATATAATAGGTAAATTGAGGATTCATTAACCTGTAAAAGGTTAATTTAACTTTTAAGTTCAAATCAATAAGGTGGTAGTTTTACAAGGTAAACCAATGTAAAATCTTTAGGTAATTAAAGTTGAGTTTTATGTTTACATATGTTGAATTTTAATTATAGGTAAGACGGTAGAGCTCTCTCCGATATCCTTAATAGGGAACTGGCACATTTTTTTTTTATTCAAAAATGTGTTGTACTACGCTAAAGACATAGTCATGCCAAATATCAAGCATTAAAAATCAGCCGTTAATTTTTTATAAATATTTGAAGTTACGCTCGAAACATCGCCATTTGAAACGACCGATTAGTGTGACGTTACTCAGCAACAAAATTTCGTTCACAGTCCTTGGTTGACAGTGAACTTCGAGCAGGTAGATTTAGATTATGGTTATGTTGTTATGTATGCCGTTTATGATAGATTTGACATTGACAACACCAGCAGCAAATGGCGTGGCAGCGGTGCGACCCGATTATTACTGCCTTGTGACGTCAGGACCCATAGGAATACGTTTTTAATCTCGTCAAGAATTTCGAATTATTTGGTATTTTCAATTGAAGATTTTGGAAACCAGAGATAAGATATTATATCCTTTTCCTAATTGCATCATTTATTAGGATGATTGTTATTGTATTTTATTATTTATTTCATATTTAATTTAATGTGCAAGTTCCCTATTTCAGGTTTTTGATATTTATAACTCCCTGGGGATTATTTATTACCTTTCTGCATTTATAAATTGGATTTTTATTGATTTCATTGACTTTGAGTCAAAAATTAAAGGTTAATGGTATTATGACTTCAGCATTTATACTTAGGTAAATTTCATCATAGGTACTTATTTGATTGTTTTTGAATTTCAATCTTTTTGTATACCTATTTAAATTAAGTTTGGCTTTTGGAAAGCTGCTTATTTTATTTTTTTTTTTAATTGGATACTGAACAATATTCTTAATTGAACTATTGAACAACCAGTTCGCCCTCCTGTCAAGAAATTTTTAATGAACTATTGGGAAATGGACTAAGAAATAAAAGAACTTGTTAATTATCGATATTCAATATATTTATTATATCGAACACAGCGGAAAGCAGAGCGTGTGAACTCATAGAAATAACTATACGAACTGACTCAACATCAAGACAAAGAATTACAAAACCCTTTCTTAAGTAAACGATTCCTCATCTGTTTACCTTACATATAAAAACTATTATAAACACATTCAGTCATCCATAGCTGCGATATAAATTAGCAAAGTATAGGCTAATAATCAAAGTTTAGTTCATATCAGTTTATCCAACACGCCACCTCAAAAATTTGATCAATTATACTAAAAGTGTAATACAACTTAAACCTAGTATAACATAAATAGGCCCGCTTTCCTTATGTGTGTCTTTTCTGGGGAAAATTACAATAATGGTCCAGCATTTGCTGCTCAGAATTAGGGAAAACCCAGAAAAACCTAATCAAACCATTTAACTTATTTAGTAAACCTAATTCAATTCTAATTTCTCAAATTTCACTTGCATCAATGGTTTGGTAAACATGTCTGCTAGTGGTTTATCTGTGGACAAATTAATATTTTATATTAATTACGATCAATTCAATATGATTTGATCTATTGTAATTTGTTGGATTATTTGTAATACATATTGAGGTCCATTGTTGTCCTCCTAGGTCATAATTGACTCTGATATTAATGTTTATGCATATTTTCTGCTAATGATTTTAACCAAAGAGCTTCTGTGACAGCTTTAAAAAGACAACTGCCTTTTTGTATTCCAACATATCACACAAATTTCAAACAGTTTAAATAAATATCTTGTTGTGCCTTTTACATTGTTTCTATCATGCATCTCCACCTTCTTAGTCAGGATTAATAGAAATACTCAAGAAATTGATACATTCACAACTAAAATATTGTGTCAACTTCACATTGATTTTACCCTTAAGATATCTAAGGACCCTTTTCAAATATTGCCAAAACTCTTTATTATTCTTGTTTTAATACCTGCTAAAAATATTAACAGTGGTACTTAAATCAGGCTTGATATACATAACATAATACACATTAAACAGACGATTAGATTCCGGCAAGGGCTATCATGTTTTTCTTCAGAATTTAAACCAATCAAATTTAGTTTACTAGGAAGTGGAGTGCTGACACAGCTGATGGCACAACAGTCATTCATATTAAATTTATGTAATAGTATATTACATACCGAGGTGGAAAGTGTTTCATTACTGTCGAGAGATTTAAGTTAGACCGAGGCACAGCCGAGGTCTAACTGAAATCTCGAGACAGTAATGAAACTTTTCACCGAGGTATGTATACTATTTTATTTACAATCATTCGAATTTTGAAATTTTCATTTGGATTAAAACTAAAAAATACAATAATTAACAATTTCATTTACTTTCGGCCCACGGGTCGAAAGTTTACTTTCGACCCGTGGGCCGAAAGTAAAAGTCAAAAATACAATAAATTTTAAAAATTTCATTCACTTTCGGCCCACGGGTCGAAAGTAAACTTTCGACCCGTGGGCTGGAAAGTAAAAGTCAAAAAAGTGACATTTTCGAACTTTTTAAAAGTCAGTAAAGTCAACATTACATGTATGATTGCAAATAAAATAGTTTTCATGTACATGTGAAATGTACCTATATGAAAATTGATCAAGAGTAATTTTATTTTTGATTACCTTTTAATTTTATTATCCAAAAATAGTTTACTGTCTTTCAAATAAAACATAGAACAGTTATTTGCCAAATACCTTTTGAAACTATAAATACAGTGGTTAACTGATGAATTTTCAAATCCATTTTCTTTATGAACTTTTACTATTATTTCAAACTAACATCTAGTGGTTTGTTTTAGTTCATAGATACAAAGCCTTGCAAACTTAGGAGGTTTACTTGTCACACCTTGAGCCAGCCACCCTTTAGCATTCAGGAACCTTCATAAAAATGGCTTCCTTCAATGACCTATCCGGGAAAGCTGTTTGTACATACATCCATATGATGTATTAAAAGGGTAAACTGATTAAAAAGGTTATTATAAACCAGAAACCTACGATTCTCGCCACCTGTGCAAAGGTTTCATTATAATCTACCAAGTAATGTTGACTAAAACCACGAGCAACTAAGTAAGCTTTGTATCTAAATGGTTTTCTAATTTCATCATTTTCAATGGAAAATATCCATTTACAATCCACTATATTTTTATATTCGGGTCTTGATACTAACGATCACGTTTTATTTACCAATAATGAGTGAATCAATATCATTTAGCAGATCTGTTTTAATCACAGATTTACTATACTCATTATTTAGTTTAATGAGTTTATTAGGGTTAACATTTACCTACTTTCCTGGATTGTTACGCATCTGATTTAGCTATATCAGATTTATTAACCAAACCACCGATCTTGACAAACTGCCACTTTCAGGGGAAAGATTTTATTAGACTATCCAAGATGCTGTCG